TCGCGTAGATGGTCATTGTTAAGGCCGGTTCTCACATGCAGCGAAGCGCTGATGTAACGCTGCTCACGTGCCGTCAGGTACTTATCGTATGCCATGAGCAATAGTTTTTACGGTGCGATACAAAGCTGGTGAACGCTCCCGTCGGCACGTGCTTAGCACGAGGTCAGCGCTATGCTTGTTGCGCTCCGCTGCATGTGTGAACAGGCCTTTAGAAACTCGTTGTCAAAAAGTCAAATTTGGGGGTTTTACGTGCCAAACCAACGACGGGCATCTGGCACGCCCCAGCGGAGGACTGAGGATTAATTTGGACCACCTGGGGATCTTTTGACGTGCAACCGAAAGCTCGGTTACACGGCGCCTTCTCCGCAATAAGCCTCCGTCAGATTGCGGGCACCTCGGCCGGGATTCGAACCCGCCACAAGAAACTCGTTGTCAGGAGGCACTACTCGTCTCATGCTCGGTGGCTCGAAAGTTCAAAGCTGTCTTTTCGACCTAAATGACTGTGCCATTGGTAAAAAATAATCAATAAATAAACACGGCAATAAATACAAAAATAAAAAAGCTGGAGAGAAAAAAAAAAACTATCAAGAACCCGCCGGAAGTGTTGTATTCTTGCATATTCAGAGAAGAGGCCTAGAACTATGAAACAAGTTTCTCCTACCAAAATGTGTACAGGCCAAAAAAAGAAAAACACGTCCCAAAAGCGCAAAATAAAAAAAAAAATACATTTTTTTTATGACGCGCGCTGAATTTGAACAATTTTAGAAATCTTTTCCCATGAGTTAATGCATTCCTCAACGAAAAAAAAAAAACAATAAATACATTATTTTGTATTCTGCAGATGGTAATGATATGTACTGTATCTGGTGTTAATTTAAATGAGATACCCAAACAATGTAGGCGAAAAAAATTACAAGTTTAGGGCATAATTGTCCGTAGGTACATGTTTGGAATATATATTCGAAGCTCGTCTTGAACAACAATAATCATATCTTAAGACGGACACTCACCTAGGCTATACATAAATAATTCTTAAAAAGTTTAACATCTCTACCATAAATAGCTTCGGCTATAGCGCGCTTCAAATAAGGCACAAACGACAATTGTCAAAAACCCGTCGTCCTTCCTCGCTCCTTCGGGAATCTATTTTTCTAAAACCAAGCCTGCCAGATGATTGAAATAAACGGCATTGTCTTTCGCAAGGAATGCGGCACCTCATGTAGAATTGCGAAAAAAAAAAATTACGAATGTACCTCACTGCTTGAATCCAAATGAAACCGCCCGCCGGTCCCTCGAAGTTCGACGAGCTTCGAACTTTTACCCTAAAAGTTCGAAGTTCGTCGAACTTTTGACTTTTCAGGAATCGAGAGTTGGACAATTTTCGAATTCTTTAGATTAATAAGTTCGCAAGTTCGCAAATTATCGAATTTTTTTAGCGTAGGAAGTTCGAACTTCAAACTTTTTAGCGCAAGAAGGTCGAAAGTTCGAAAATCATCGATTTTTTGTCTATCAAGGTCGAAATTCGACAAGCATCGAATTTTGCAGCATAATCATTTCGAAAATTCGAAAAGCGTCGAAATTCTTAGTTTAATAAGTTGGAAAATTCGACTTCCGTCGAATTTCTCGATATAGAAAGTTCGAAAATTCGAAATTTTTCGAACCGTTCGAACCGCTTGATGCGATCATCGAACTTCGATTCGAAAAACGTTCGCGGCATCCCTAGTACGAACTACGCATATCCGAGTCTTCTGTAATGGCGCATGCGCAGTGCGTACCGGAAGGCCCATCGTATCTTATCGGATGTGCAAAAACGGGTCCCTAAAATTCTCTCATGTTTGCAGCGGACACCCTGTCTTTTGCAGGGTGTATGAGCGGTGCGACCCCGGCGTTAGGGTGCAATTAAACTTTAGCGTCGGGAGGCCGGCTAGTTAAAATATGAAGGAAGGAATGACCCGCGACTTGAAATGCGACGCAGGTGATTCGATCTTCCATTCCCTGAACGCTGATTTGCAACGTTAAATTCCTTACGCAGACATCTACCGAGTGCGTTAGTCCAACAAACCTGCGCAAAAGGGTCGTTATATATCTACGTATGTACGCCCTACTCCTCGCGCCAGACACGTCGGAAGTGAGTCGGTGCAAACACTCATTTCGCTGCGGGGCCTCTCCCAAGAGTGTTGCGTTCTCCCAGTTTGTGCAGTCGCTCCCCTACGCGTTCGAGGGAACGCGAGACGGGCAAATAATTCATTAGCCGCGAGAGCCACCGCGGCGAATAAACGGGGAAACTCCTCGATTTAAGAAATATCGCGCCAAAAATTTATAGCCTTTTTTTTTTTTTTCTTTTTGAGAGCAGGGCGAATGGTGTTTTTCGAGCAATGTACTTCAGTAACTACCCTTGTATGGTGCTTGGAAAGCGCCTCATTCTCAGATATTTACCGCGTCCTGAAATGTGGTCTTTCCATTTCCTACTCATGAAGTCACACAAGAGTCACGCTGTTGCCTGCCGCGACCCTGACGGCCGATGGAAGCCTTATCGAAGGAAGGGAGCTTGCGCTGGGAAGCGAGACAACGAAGGGGCCTCCCTGCCGTTCTAATCCTGCCACTGACCTCTACCTTTATACTCCTCTGACAAACATAGTCTCGTCAATAGACGCTAACAATTTAAGAAACGCGGGGCGTGACTTTTCGTGTTCCCGTTTCTTGCGTCGTGATTGGTTCCTTGGCGTCTTTTTACCGGCTGACGCTGCGATCTCATTGGCTGCGGAGCGACGATGGGGCGCTCGGGACACGCCCTTCGTTCCTTAGACTCTCAGTAACTCTAAATATTGTATCGAATAAAAGCGAGATCAGAAGAAATTCCGAGTCGGGAGAAACGTGAGAGTGCTCCGTTCTGTACACGGCAGGTCTGGTCGTGACTTCGACAATAGACAGTTTTAGTAGGTCGCTTCAATAACTCCGATAAGGATACCCGATAACCGTACGATGCGTACGCAACGGCGTCGACGGAGTGTCGGGTATATTAATCGGAGCTATGGGAACGGCTACTAGAACTCCCTGATTGGTTTGTGGACATTTTTAATTCGTGAGCCTTCCTTTCAAATATCTGTTCCGCCCGGAAATACCTGTTTTATGTCGCAATGTGGGAAACTGTGATAAACTACCATATTTGATATCGTTGTTTCGGTTTTTGACATGAGTAAAAATGGGTGCGGGCTCCTTTCAGGGCAGATCCAACGATGGGGTTCGTGTGGTTTGTGCAAAGCCCGCGGCGTAGACGCCTCTGGGTGGGAGTTGCGCATCGGCGAGATTCCTTTCCCCGTCCGGACAGCAGTCACGCGAAACGAGAGCCATGTTGTTGTCAGAATTGGCGTCTGTGTCAATCCGGCGCGCGCGGGATCGGACAACAATTTGTGTGCTCGGAGAAGCACGGCCAAGGACGTTTCCTTTCTTTCTTCGTCTAAAATTTGCCGAGAAAAGAGATAAATCGCTTTCTTTCGTTTTGCGCTGCGCGCGTATTTTCTCGGTTGCGCAAACCTCAAAAGTCAGCACGATTCAAGCGAGCGGCCTTTCTGAGCTAGTACACACGGAGCTGTAGGGAGTCGGCCCACAGATTGAACAGACAACGTATGCTGCTGCGTTGCTCGTAGTGTCGAATTATTTCCTGGAGGGTTTAAGAACAGGTTTGGGACCCAAAGCCCACGCTTTGGGTCCCAACCACAGCTTGGAGCTTCGCACGGCGCGTGCACTACGCCGCAGCGCATTAGCAGTGCGACGTCCCGTCTAATCTGGAGGACCCAAAACAGGAGTACACAAAGAGGGGGGAGAGAAAAGGGGGGATGGGTGCGCCCACCTTTTGACTTTTCCCGAAATTTGCAGGCTGGGGGGGGGGGGGGGGGGGGAGGTTGGATGAGATCAATGCTTAGACGAACCCACCCAAAACAAAGCAATGACGAAAGGACCAGCCGGAGCTCAGACCTATCCTTGGTACTGAAGGAGAGTAATCCAGCCTTTATCAGTTTTTTTTTTTCCTTCTGACTCTTTTTAAGTTTATTACCGCCAAGTCTCGTCCTTCTGTCACTCATTGTTAGGAAGTAGATAGATCTTACTATATTAAAGGAAGGGGCTAACGCAGCAATAAACAATTGATACAAAGTGGAGTTTCTACCGAAAGCAAACACCCTACTTTCATCCTCCTTTCTTCTTTCTCTTTCAACAATCTGCCCCGCCGCCAAGTTAGCTCAGTGGTCCATTCGAGTTCAATATTCAGTCATAGTTCAGTGCACGCGCCTCACTTTTTTCTTTGTCTCTCTTTTCTTCTTTTTTCCTTTCGTTCTTTTAACTTTCCGCAGCTACTTTTAAAAAGAATAAAAAATAAAAATAAAGCCTGTGCGTTTACTTAATTGCACAACACTCGGACAGCCAATTACTTCAACTTAAGGAGGCAGCTGAGCGAATGACGATGCCGAAACACAAGTTTAGACCAAAAAACGCAGTCTGAGTTGTGACATTAAGCAAGGCAAGCATGACGTTTTGCATCGCTTGATATCACAACTCAGACTGCCTTTTTTGGTCTAAACATATGTTTCGGCATCGAGAGTCGCTGATCTGCCTCCGTAAGTTACGGTGATTGGCTCTCCGAGTGTTGTGCGGGAAAGTAAATTCACAGGATTTTTTTAGAGTGTATACAGCACCAAGAATGTCCAAACTAAAACACGTCAAACGAAACCTTTGCTGACTTCCTGTTCAAAGCGAATTTCTAACTCTCAGGCTGAAATGCTCTTAATATTTAAAAAACTAACAAAAAAGGCAATTTTTTTTTTTTTTTTTTACTTTGTGCGTATTGTTTGGTAGTAGATTTTTGCAACCGAATGCAGCATCTCTAAGAATATTGAGACACAGCACGTGTCTCGCCTATAATACAGCAATCAGGCAAACTTTCATCCATCGCTGGAAAGGGGAAGGTGGATTTGTGAGTTGTATATAAATTTGACGGCTCTTACCGGCTTGAGTTGAATACCATTCATGTTCCTGTAAGAGCAAAGAGAAAGAAAAAACACAAATTGTTTATTGCTTCCTTCTTTTTTATAGTGTAACGCTTTGCACCATTTTCGATTCGATACGTTATTGAATTTTGATTTTATCTACTGAAACACTGTCTGGTGCGTAGGTCTCTTCATTGAAGTAAATAAAGCATCAAAACTTAATTTACCTAAATTGTAGCTAATTATCTTCTAATCGTTAAGTGAGGCATGGGAATCGCTTTTCGCGGGCCTATAACATGGTCAAAGAAGATTCTATAGTTATATATTCTTTTAAAATACACGTGTTTTATATGAATACTGTTCCCACGTCCTTATAAAGATTTTCTTTTTACAAGATTTTGCTAATTTAGCGCATTACAAGGGGATGAAAGTCACAAAAAGACGTTTTGATCATATTCCTCGTTGTACTTTCAATACTTCGTTTGATGAATGCGTTAGCATTAGTACCCACGTGACAGGGAAACGCCGACGGCGTCCGTCTGTGGACAAAACAGTGGAAAGGGAAGTGCGTCGCGTAGAGAGGAGGAGAGTATTGAAGGACAAAGGCGAGAGGGAGGTGACGTCACGAGGCGGAAGCCAATGAACGCGCGCGGATGCTGGGGCGAGTCTGAACTTGAAGGTTTGCGGAGCGCGTACGCCTTCGCTTGTTTCACAAAACGGAGTGTGAGGCAAGTACTACATTCAGTTAGAGGTCAAGAAAAGTTTTCGAGGGAAGGGAAAACTGGGGAGGAGGAAGTAGACGGAACGCTGGAGAGAGGAGGAGGGTTCCTCCTCTCCAGCATTCCGTGCTTTGTACCGACTGACATCGTACAAAGTTCCGGTGACATACAGGCGTAGGATGCGCCGTGGCACGGGAAATAAACACACGCCAAACTTGCAGAGTAAGGATAGTAGGCTGGTGCATATTAATCGAGTGCAGGAAAGCATCTTTGGATTTACTTTTATCTATTCAATAACAGTAAGTGTATTAATTTCTCAACAACGGCTGCATTTGATCGGTTCTGGACTAGGCGTTTATTTAACCTTGTGTCTGGACCTTTTAGAATGTGAAGGCTTTCGACGTTATTTTTATACGACAATGCCTGCTAGTAGTTGATCTGAGCATCAAAAAGTAAAAATTGAAACTAACTATTTTAGCTATATAATAGATCGTGCAACACATACTGGCCCTGTGTGTCTATACATTTTGTTTTGGAACATAAAAGTTCTCTATTTTGTCGCCAAATAATAAGAACGCAGAGCACGGGACTCAACGACATAGCACGAAGCTAAAATGTATATTCAATTTGCTCTAATTACAAGAAAGTGGCATTCTTATTGTAAGTAATGTGACCAGTGTAGACAATTGCAATAAAAAAAACTTAACTACTGGTTTTAAACGAACGAGAAAGCTACAGCTAAGTAATCAATCGTATATATATATATATATTGTGTATCATTTCTTCCTTTTATTTTGCATTGAACCTACTATTTGCTAGACGATGCACTATAATAGGCATCTAAAGGTTTAATATGACACACTTGAACAATGTCTTAATTTTACGCCTTAAAGCGAAGATAACTTGCAAAAAATTTGGATGAACTATGAACCCCCGAAAAATGCGAAAAACATTGCTTGAAGCGAACTAATTTGCAACCCAGTTTTAGCGGAAGTATTGAGCATTTACAAGTTCGTAAGAACAAAGCTTAAAATGAATATTTTTTTTTTCCAGAAAATAAAAGGTGATGTTGAAGACGGTTGAATTTTTTTTTTTTTTTTTTTTAAATACGATTAGTGTGCAGGCGGGCGGGTGGAAGTTTACCATAGTAATATTAATCCGAGATTGATATCAACATGGGATTGTCTGCCCTTATTTTGTCTTAGCGTAAAACGTTCTTTGGCATATTGGAGGCGGGGGGGGGGGGGGGGGGGAGGGGGGGGGAGGGGGGGAATTAGGGTCGAGGAGTTTCCTTATTTTAAACTTTGTGAAGCCGCCGATTATCTCGATGCCGATTTGATGAACCGGGTATGACGTCATATATGACGTCACACCCAAGGTTGACCCTGATTGGCTGATTTTGTTTTTGACGACAATTGCTGATATTTTTATTCCAGGTACTGCTATCAGGTGTGCAGCCCACGCGTTAAGACTCACGCACTAGCCAGGACCGAACGCGCCGCAGGAACCGAGCAAGCATCACCGAAGCAGCCAGATACCGGAACAGTTCACGTGCAACACAACTGCCCAGCAGTTTGCTATGCATTTTTTTTTTACCACTATAATCCTTCTGCTTCTTCTGCCACAGTTTGAGATCAATATCTCTATAGTGAATTTCCTGCTTTCTGGAACACAGCGAAGTAGAACGCCTGGATGAAAACGTTAATTTTGCAATCTTGTTGAGAACGCGAGCGATGTCCCCATCGATCTACAACGGCGAACACCCGAGCATTCCGAAATAGGAACGAAATTTTCTCATTCTGATCCAACATAAACGTTGAGCACCAGACGTAACATTATTACTATTATGTAACTCGTTGTATGTACACATGCTTCTATAACTGATGGCCGGACGGCTTCGAAATCTAATACCTTGTGTATCCGCTATCCAGGGCTAAATTGGCCCCCGGAAGAATACATCAACAAACGTAAAGCGTGCGTAACACACGCTATAGTGGTTTCCTCCGTATTGAAAGTATTCCAGCGTGCTTGCTCGCTTTATCAATGTTAGATCGCAGATATTAGGCGCCCCTTTCCGCGTTCAGCGGCGTCGCCATCGCCATCGGCATAACCGCACCGCTAAATTTAGCGGGAAATTGAATTGGTGTGGAGGTCATGTGACGTCAATTTCCCCGCTAAATTTAGAGGGGAAACCTAACCCGTTCAATTTAGCGGGGAAGTTTTCGAAATTTAAAGGAAATTTAGCCAGGAAATTTAACGGGAAGAGGAGAGGAGGAGGAAAGGAAGAGGAGGAGGGAAAGAGGAGAAGGAGGATGGGAGGGTACGGAGGAGGAGGTGGGGCGTACCCTCCCCTGCGTACCCTCCCTCCCCTCCTCAAGAGCTCTATACTCCGCGACAACTTTTCTTGGCAGTGCAGTGGAAGGTACAGGCCGGCGTCCCCTCTCCCATTTTGAGTGTGCGCAGGCTCTCCTCCTCTCCCCGGAAATGGGGGAGGAGGAGAGGATGCGTACACTCAAAATGGGAGCGGGGACGCGGGCCTGTACCTTCCTCTGCATCACCAAGAAAAGTTGTCGCCGAGTATAGTTTCGCACTACAGACATTTGTAAACGTCCGTCCTTTTTTTTTTTTTTTTGCACATTTGTGGCAAGGTGGTAAGTATTCCCGAAAGACGTTTTATATACTTTTACACAAGACTTATTTATAAGAAAATACTCGTTAATCGTACCGCTGACTATACTCTCCGCGTGGAGAGACAAGTCGGCTGTCGCTATCAAATGGTGGGTAGTTCGCTGAAGAAAATGCACACTGCGCGAGACTGTTAGTCAGCATTTTACTTCGAAAAGGTATCTGGCGGGCATAAAACTTTTCCACTTGGGTTAGTAAAACGATTGAGCACATTTCACCACTATAGTAGTTTTGATGACAGTCTAAGATGAAAATAGAGAAAACCGGCGATGGCTTATTTCCGCTAACAATGTGTCGGAGTGCACTACTTTACATAAATTGCCACGACGTGTATTAGATAAGAAGACGCGGTTTGTGCTTACCTTTCAACCACAAATGTGTGTTACCTTGCCTTCAGACAAAAATGCACGTAGAGGAAAAAGAAAGCTGCCCGTGTTGTTTGGCGCAGTTGTGCGACGCAGAGCAAAGTCACGCATATGATCACGTTGATGAGTTTGCTAGGCTCCCACAAAGCTATTCAAACAGAGCCGGTTGTTTTTGTCTCCTGTTACAGAGGTTTTGAAAGCAGCTGTGGGCGTGGGCGATTACTTGCGTCAAGTTGTATGCAGTGTTCGCACTACTACATCGGTCCCTAAAGATTGGATATAAAAAAAATGCACCTTATGTCCTATTCATTGTAATTATATTCGTTATGTTAAGTCAAGAAAGGCGTTTGATTAGCTTAAAATTACATATCTGCTATTTCTCAATCGGCTCTATTTAATTGAAAGGCACAAAGCGTACGGTATTCCTTCAAAACCTTAGCATATTTTCTGGCGCCGGTATCCTTTTCGTTTTCTAACAAACATTTTGGCGGTGCTGTTCATGCAACAGTTCGACTTATATATACACGAACGTTACGGCGCGGTGGTGGCGCGTCGAGCGCACTTCCGGTCTGGGGCTGTGGGCGGAAGTCGTCATGCGGGACGTGCATTCCTGCGTTGTTTTCAAAGAAACCAGACAACACCTGCCTTCTCGTCAAAACGACGCGACTCGAGCTGTACCAAAAGAGTCCAGAAAGGTTTGAAGGTCAGTTTTCATGTGCTCGGTTTGTCCGAGAACGTGGATATGTACCGTGAAAAGGGAAAACCAGACGCCGTCGGACCACGATTGCTTGTGCGTTAAGCACTTTGGGTTGAATTCACGGGTACTTGTGGTCATCAGATTTATTTGCTTTGTTCCAACATGAACGCGGGAAAATGTCAAGTTGTACGGACCACCTGCGGACTACGTTCCGAGTTTCTTCAAGTTCAAACGACCGCCTGATCGTTCGAACTGTTGTCTGCTCATTCAATCGTTTCTCCTTGTCGTCTACTTTTCAGACAACACCGGCCCGTAGACCAAACGTTGGCCCGGTAATTGCGATAAGAAGTAAGTGCAGGCCTCAAAAAGATTTTAGGTTTGAAGGTTGGTTGGAGTAAGCAGGCTTGGTGTAAACAGTAGAAGGAGATGTTGATCATTTTTACCAGTGGCCATCACCGACTTTTTTATGCCTGATTCACTTAGTCCGATTCTGCTTGCGATTTTCAGTATCGACGTCGACCATCTCAGCAACGGTTCACGCTTTTGCAGCCCGAGCGACGTCGCGACTGAAAATTGCGAG